GGTGCCTTAGCCTCTTGAGTCACAGGCACCGAGCCAAGAGTTTCCCTTTCTACACATCCTCACCAGCATTTGTTATTTTTTGTCTTTGTAATAGTAGCCATTCTAACTGGGTAAGATGATATCTCATTTTGGTTTTGAATTGTAATCCCTCAATTAGTCATAATAAGCATTTTTTCATATACCTGTTGGCTCTTAATATATTTTCTTCTGAGATATGTTCAGAAGAGAAATGAGATATATTCAGCTCATTTGCCCATTTTTTAATTGAATTATTTGGGTTTTTTTGCAATTAAGTTGTTTGAATTCCTTGTACATTCGGGATATTGATCCCTTGTTAGATGACCAGTCCAGGGAACAAAGGTGCTCTGGAAGTTTGGGCCCAGGGAGCAGGGTGTGGCTGTAATTCGGGAACCTGAGCCAATAGAGTGCAGAGGATGGGGCCCTATGTAGTAGTGACTCTACCCCCTGGGCTGATGAGGCTCAGCAGTATCTGTGAGATCAGATGCAGTGGCAGCAAGTGCCTCAGAATAGCAGAACACAGACGTTATTTGGCCGTAAAAGTGAGGGAGGAACACCACAGTGATGACTCCGCTCCTCAGGGAGGGAGTTATCTCAGCTGTGCAGACTCCGAAGGGGGCTAGTCAAGTTGTAGAGAAGCAAGATACTAGGTGTCTGGCCTATAGGGTGAAGTGCACAGCTCAGCCACTGCACTGTTTCCCTGGGACACTGGTTCTCAACTTTCCTAATGCTGCGGCCCTTTAATACAGTTCCTGTGGGTCCTGACCTACAGGTTGAGAACCGCTACCCCAGGGCATGGGTTACCCCATCAGCTCAGCCCTGGGGTGTGCAACTGCTCAGTTTGGTCATGGCACCAGTTCCCAGAGAGTGAGGTACTGCTTCAGTTCAGTCCTATGGGGTGAGACTGTAATGGGCAGCCCAGACACAGCTTCCCTGGGCTTCAGACTCTGCTTCAGCTTAGGTACTAGTGTGCATCATTGCTCTAGGTAGTCAAGACACTGTTCTGTGGCCAGGCGAAGTGGCTCACACCTATAATCCTGCACTCTGGGAAGCTGAGGAGGGTGGATCCCTTGAGCTCAAGCGTTTAAGACCACCCTGAGCAAGAGTGAGACTTTGTCTCTGAGCAAGAGTGAGACTTTGTCTCTAAAAATGCAAAAAAGTAGCCAAGTGCTGTAGTGGGTGCCTGTAGTCCCAGCTACTCAGGAGGCTGAGGCAGGAGGCTTGCCTGAACTCAGGAGTTTGAGGTTGCTGAGAGCTATGATGACACCACTGTACTCTAGCCTGGGCAATGGAGTGAGACTCTGTCTCAAAAAAAAAAAAAAGACACCGTTTCTTGGGATACAAGGTGCTATTTCAGCTTAAGCATGGGAGGCATGACTGATGTGAGCACTAAGGTACTGTTTTCCCAGGCAGGAGGCAGGGTACTACTTCAGCTCTAGCATGAAGGGGTGGACAGAGGTAAAGGTGGAGCCGCTCTGCCTCTGCCTGGGCCCATGGAGAAGGGTACAACAGCTGCGTGCAGCTCAGCTTGGGAATATTGGGCTACTGGACCGGGGTGGTTTGGTGGTAGCTCAGCCTCAGGAGAGAAGTGGCGTTACAGCTACTTAGTGCAGCAGTCACATGGGTCACAGAGGCATGTGTTGGTTTATCCTCTAGGGAGATGCAGCTGGGTGGACGCCAGGCAGCTCCTTTAGCTGGCTCATATCTGTGAGGAGTGCAGGGGACCCCAATAGTGAAAGCACATGTAGTGAGAATAAGTAAGAACAAGATGGAGTCTGTCAGGCTAGGGTAGACACGACACAGCTGGTCTGGTCGGTTTAGGTCTTGCCTGACATTCGCCCAGAACCATTCATATTGTTTTGTAAATTTAGCTCCCACCCTAAACATGCCTATCTCGAGTAGTTTAGGTGGATTGATTTGGGAGGTTAACTTTGAATTTGAATGTTGTAATAGGTCACTGAGTTATGCTGATTATTATTTGGAACAGGAGTTAGTGTGGTCTTTGCTTTGAACTTTTATGGATAAAACTGTAATTTTGGAAATGGAAGAACAGAACAGTCTTGGGGAGGTTACTCTCACTGTTCTCCAGAATCCTGGCCTTCTGACAAAGTTTGGTGGCCCTATTCCCATCTCTGCATATTGGCTGACAGTGACAGGCAGCCAGACCCTCTTCGTCCAGTAACATTGAAACCCAGCTATCCAGACCATTGCCTACTGTTCTCTACAGAAATTGGTTCTATGTTATGACATTTGCTCATCTTATAAGTGGAAACCACCTCAGTATGCCATTTTTTTTTGAGACAGAGTCTGGCTCTGTCACCCCAGATAGAGTGCCATGGCACTAGTTCATGCAACCTCAAACTCCTGGGTTTAAGCAATTGTCTTGCCTCAGCCTCCGGAGTAGCTAAGACTACAGGCATGTGCCACCACACCTTGCTAATTTTTCTATTTTTAGTAGAAACAGAGTCTCAATTTTTCTCAGGCTGGTCTTGAACCCCTGAGTTTAAGTGATCCTCCTGCCTCAGACTCCCAGAGTGCTAGGATAACAGAAGGGAGCCACCAGACCCAGCCTCATTATGCCTTTTGGAACTTCATTAGGTAAGTTCTCTTTGGGTGCAGTCTAAGGTAAGTAGTATGGTATAATGTCAAGTTTGCAGAAGGCATAGTTACTGATGAGAACATAACAATTGATATACTTAGGTACATTTGAAGATCAGCAAATACAATGATTTTTGAAAGGGATGAAGAGCTTAACTAACCTTGAGGGTTGTTTCCCTCTTGCACTATATACTTTACAGATTGAAAATCTAGTATGCCAAAGTCCTCAGATAAATTCTTAAACCTGGTAAAAAGCAAAATAATTTAAGCTAAGATCTAATAAAATGAAGAAAGAAATTTAGTGTAACATCCTGGAATGAGAATTTGAGTAGCTTTTGATTGGGAAGTATTGACTAGAAGAAAAAAATACGGAGGGAGAAAAAGTCATTAAGGAGAGTAAGAAGTTAGTAAAGTGAAAAGAAACTTACAAGCAGTCAGACTTGAGGAATGAATCAGACCTTGTGAAGGCAGATGGATGACACAAGAAGAGAAAACAGGCAAAACTATGGAATGGTTCGGAGTCTTTCACCTTACGAGTGAAGGTACGAGTGAAGGTAGACAGTTACACGCAAGGACTCTGACTCTATAGAGTTAAGGTCTTGGACAAAGCTCTCTGCAACATATTCCATTTCTGATTGTGTTGACAAATGCACAAGGATTCCAATATTTCCACATCTTTGTCAATACTTGTTATAATTTCTCTATTTTTAAAGATACAGCCTTACTTGTAGGTGTGAAGTGGGATCTTGTGGTTTTAGAACAACCAGTGTTTTAACCACGAATGCATGATAGTACTGGGAAACTTGAAACCAAGTTGTTACCACAATTTAAATGAGATCGTTCTCATGTTTTACCTTTCTTCATAGATTCTTTTTCCATTCCATCCCTGTATGTGTACAAGAGTTCATCAACTTCCTTCAGATCCAGGAAGCCTGAGCCATCGCTGTCCCACTTCTGAAAGAGGGCCTCTAGGAGTAGCTCCCGTCTGACTTCGAAAGCATTTTGTCTAACCTAAGGCACATACAGAATAACAAAGCATAAAAGACACAATGTTTACTGTGTTTATTCCTCCCCCAGCAAAGAGCAGCACCTTTGAAGCATAATGTTAGTGGAAAATGTCGTGATTATTTTTAATCCCTTACATGTCCTTTCTCTAGAAATGCCATTTCATCTCTAGACCAAAAACATAGGCATTCTCTGCATTAGACTAAAACACATTAACTTAGAAAAGGTGTTATCAGTCTTAAGAGTTTTGGGGTTTTTTTTTGCAAATTTCTTCTATGAACCTGAATAATTTTTTTTTTCTTTTTCTTTCTTTTTTCTTTTTTTAGAGTCAGGGACTTACTTTGTTGCCCAGGCTGGGCAGTGCTGTGGCACGATCATAGTTCACTGCAGACTTGAACTACTGGGCTTGAGCAATCCACCTCAGTTTCCCTAGTAGCTGTAACTATAGGCACATACCACCACACCCAGACAATTTAAAAAAAATTTTTTTTTTCAATCTGAAAGCAGTCACTGTTTATTAACTGACTAGGTTACAAAAACAATCAGGGCAGACACCTTAGTTCATTCCTCTAACAAGCCTATTGATTTGGTCTTCCCTGTTACCAGCATCTCCGCCTTCTACAAAGTGGGTTGTCTTTTTCTTCATTCCCCCCGTGGAGATGATAACTTGAATGGCCACAGAAGTTATTTGCTTCTTTGAAGTGTTTTCCAACAGTACAGATCTCATGAATCAGATCCTCCATGCAGATATGCCATATTTACCAAGAGATTGTGCAAACTGTTATCAGTCAATGCAATTCGTTTCTTATTGATTTTGCCATAACCACGCTTGTAGATTAGCTCCTTTACTGACTTCAGATCTGGGTACCCCCCTGCAATATACGGTTCTACAATCCTCAGCATGTTAATGGAAGCCTTGTTGAGCTTAACAAAAGTTCCATTGAAGATCAGGTGAAGGCGAAGAAGCTGCAACACCTTTCAGACTGTTGGACTCACACCATTGATCCCTCTGATCCTGATGACAAAGGCCAGTTTGGGTTCTGCAGGTACATAGAAATTGCCAGCTTTTCCTGCCATTCCAGCCATCCGAATCTCAGTTCTGTACATCTGCCTGTGTTCTTTATGATAATGCTTAGCTTTTTCATAGATAAGCTTCCTCCCTGCCTTTCAAAGCATCTTTTTTTTTTTTTTTTTTTGAGACAGAGCCTCAAGCTGTCACCCTGGGCAGAGTGCCGTGGCATTACAGCTCACAGCAACCTCCAACTCCTGGGCTCAAGCGAGTCTCCCGCCTCCGCCTCCCAAGTAGCTGGGACCACAGGCGCCCACCACAACGCCCGGCTATTTTTTGGTTGCAGCCATCATTGTTGTTTGGCGGGTCCGGGCTGGGGATTCGAACCCGCCACCTTAGGTGTACGTGGCTGGCGCCTTAGCCGGTTGAGCTATAGGTCAAAGCATCTTTTGGGCACATTTCTTTCTCAGACGCTTGATCTTCAGCTCTGCGATATTCTTTCGCTTTTTCTTAAGAGTTTCTGGCACAGCAGGAACCTTCTTTTTCTTCTCTTCGACACCCTCCATGGTTCCAGCCCGAAAAAGAGGAAGCTCTTTAAATTTTTTTTGTAGAGATGAGGTCTCCCTATGTTCCCCAGGCTGGTCTGCAACTCCTGGCCTCAAGCAATCCTCTCACTTTGGCCTTGCAAAGTGCTGGGATTACAGGCATCGTGCCTAGTCATCTAGAATCTTTGATCATTTCTTTTCGACTTCCTCCTTGGTTGTTCAAGAATGTGTTTACATGGGATACCCTGCCTAGCTTCCTGGTTGGGTGTGTTTTGTAGTGACGGGGAATGAATGGGAGTGTTCAAAAAATGAAATTGGCTGTGTTAAAAAATTCTTTTTTATATTTAACATTGACTTAACTAGACATTGATTTAATTTGCCATTTAAAGTTTTCACTAGGTTAATCTAATTAATTAGATAGTAATTGAATTAATATCTAGATAGATTTAGTTGCAAAACTAAAATGAATATACACACCTTTTGGGTAAATGGGAGAAACTGTAACTGAAGAGGCAAAAGGGAACTGTCTAGAATTGGGTTGAGAAGACTCATAAGGCTAATGAGATTAATGAATAAGCTTAATTAAACTAATTTACATAGGTCATATAATTTACATAGTTCAAACACAGTTACATGTTTAAAAAAGCCAAAGTATATGTTGTTATCTATCACCAAAGTAAGTTCTTAGGAAATATGTACTACCCGGGTGCCCATAAATAAAAATATATATTCAAGCCAGGTGCTGTAACTCACACCTGTTATCCTAGCACTCTGGGAGGCCAAAGGGAATGGATTGCTTAAGCTCAGGAGTTCGAGACCAGCCTGAGCAAGAGTGAGATCCTGTCTCTACTAAAAGTAGAAAAACTAGCCAGACATCATGGCAGGTGCCTGTAGTCCCAGCTACTCAGGAGGCTGAGGCAAAAGGATTGCTCAAACCCAAGAGTTTGAGGTTGCTGTGAGCTATGGTGCCATAGCACTCTACCCAGGGTGACAGAGTAAGACTCTGTCTCAAAAAATATATATACGTATATATATATGCCATAATCATACCCCAGGCATATGTACTTGCACTCACATAGCAGACAGGTAATATATACATGCACATTTGCTCCTCAGAAGCTTTAGAGGAGGAAAAAAACAAAAAGCTATACAATATACCATCTTCTGACAGGAGCAACCATGTTATCAGGAAAATTAGTTCCCTGGAGTGTGATCTTTGAAGACTTGACAGTAAAATAAAACATTTAATGGCTATGCTTATTGAAATAAAGTGATACATTTGGTTGTACATCTTTTTCTGAGATAGAGTCTCACTTTGTTGCCCAAGCTAGAGTGCTCTGGCATCAGCCTACCTCATAGCAACCTCAAACTCCTGGGCTCAAGTGATCCTCCTTAGCTAGGACTATAGGCACTTGCCATAATGCTCAGCTAATTTTTCTTTTGAGATAGAATCTCACTGTGTTGCCCTTGATAGAGTGCTATGGTGTCATAGCTCACAGCAACCTCAAACTCCAAGAAGAGCTCAAGTGATCTTCTTGCCTCAACCTCCCAAGTAGCTGGGACTATAGGTGCCCACCACAACGCCTGGCTATTTTTAGAGACAGAGGTCTCTCTTTTGCACAGGCTGGTCCTAAACTCCTGAGCTCAGGCAATCCACTGCAATCCCAGAGTGCTAGGATTACAGGCCTGAGCCACCATGCCCAGCTTTTTTTCCCTTGTTTTTCAGTAGAGATGGGGTCTAGCTCATTCTCAGGCTGGTCTCAAACCCCTGAGATCAAGAGATCCTCCAGCCTTGGCTCCCAGAGTGCTAGGATTATAGGTGTGAGCCACGGTGCCTGGCCTGATTGTACATGTTTTAAGAAGAGCCACATGAGGAGCAATTGAGGCTTAGAGATTTACTTATAATGTAGCAGGAAACCAACACAGACAGAAGACTCGCTTTTACTTTCCTGCCTCAACAACAGTAACCTCACTTGCATTGATAAAAAATATTACCCACCTGTTCTAAGGCATTCATTTTCTCTTCTTCTGTTTCAACATAGCCCGTCTTAAAAAAGAAGATGAGGGCCTCACTGATATTCAAGGGAACATCTTCACCCACAAATGTCTCCAGGAGTTGCACGAACTGGAGCAAATTTAAGGAAAGTCTATTGAAGGCAGTCCTGTGCCTTATTTTCTTGTAAGATTGAATATTTCTGATAATTGGGTGTAGGTCTGTCAAACAAGAAACATACATGAAGCAGTAAAGTGAACAATTCTTTCAAACCTTAGGGAAAATATGTAAGTACCTATAGAAATGGACATCTGCTATTTTTGAGGTTGCTATAAGATATGATGCCACGGCACTCTGCCCAGGGTGACAGTGAGACTTTGTCTCAGATTTAAAAAACCCATATATGTATACATACACACACACATATATCATAATCATATATCATGCCCCATAATACCCTATAATCATACCCCATGCTCCCTTCATGAGAACAGCATCTTCCTTTTTTCTTTGGGGAAACATTTCTCCTCCATGTCAGTTAAGATGAGTCAGGTTGTACTGAGCCTCCCCACCTTGCACCTTGGATGGCTGTGTGATATAGTTCTGGCTAACAATTCACATATGATGGCAACATAACCCACTATTCAGGCCAATAAGAATTAGCATGCATTATTGTATACATGATCTATGCGTTTGTGATTTAATAAAAGAAAAAAAAAGAATTAGCCTCAGAACTCTTGGAGCAACTATTAGGGAAGAACCATTCCTTTTTGTACTCCCATTGCTGAACCAGTAGGATATAAGCTTAGAGATGTGCTCATGGCCATTTTTGCCATAATATAGAGAACACTGCCTCAAATTGAAAGTGACACAGGGCTGAGAGGCAGCGAAACAGTATCCTGTTGCTATTGTTGAGCCCTTGGACCCAGTTGTGTCTGAAGCCAGCTGTACTCTGAACTTCCCAGTTAAATAAGTAAGTAAAATATCACCATACAATCCTTCCTCACAAGAGTCTTCACTAATATATTTATCTTGAAGCTTAGTGTTATATTCCATAAAATCTCAGCAAAGCTACTTAAGTGTGGTTTATTCATTGATTCAATCATTCATGTCTTTATGCCTTCTATATGAGACTTGATATGATTTTTTAAATGATTACCAAATAAAGAACATGAAAGATCTCTATAAAGAGAACTATGAAACTCTAAGAAAAGAAATAGCTAAAGATGTTAACGAATGGAAAAACATACCATGCTCATGGCTGGGAAGAATCAACATTGTTAAAATGTCCATACTACCCAAAGCAATATACAATTTTAATGCAATCCCTATTAAAGCTCCACTGTCATACTTTAAAGATCTCAAAAAAATAATACTTCATTTTATATGGAATCAGAAAAAAACCTTGACTAGCCAAGATATTACTCAGAAATAAAAACAAAGCAGGAGGAATCACACTACCAGACCTCAGATTATACTGTAAATCAATAGGGATCAAAACAGCATGGTACTGGTACAAAAACAGGGAGGTAGATGTATGGAACAGAATAGAGAACCAAGAGATGAACCCAGCTACTTACTGTTATTTGATCTTTGACAAGCCAATTAAAAACATTCAATGGGGAAAAGATTCCCTATTTAACAAATGGTGCTGAATGAACTGGCTGGAGACCTGTAGAAGACTGAAACTGGACCCACACCTCTCACCATTAACTAAGACAGACTCTCACTGGATTAAAGATTTAAACTTAAGACATGAAACTATAAAAATACTAGAAGAAAGTGCAGGGAAAACACTAGAAGAAATCGGCCTGGGTGAATATTTTATGAGGAGGACCCCCCGGGCAATTGAAGCAACACCTAAAATACACTACCAGAACCTGATCAAACTAAAAAGCTTCTGCACAGCCAAGAACACAGTAAGTAAAGCAAGCAGACAGCCATCAGAATGGGAGAAGATATTTGCAGGTTATGTCGCTGACAAAGGTTTAATAACCAGAATCCACAGAGAACTCAAACGTATTAGCAAGAAAAGAACAAGTGATCCCATCTCAGGCTGGGCAAAGGACTTGAAGTAAAACTTCTCTGAAGAAAACAGGCACACAGCCTATAGACACATAAAAAATGCTCATCATCCTTAATCATCAGAGAAATGCAAATCAAAACTACTTTGTCTCATCTAACTCTAGTAAGATTAGCCCATATCACAAAATCCCAAAACCAGAGATGTTGGCATGGATATGAAGAAAAGGGAACACTTCTACACTGCTGGCGGGAATGCAAATGAATACATTCCTTTCGGAAAGATGTTTGGAGAACACTTAGGGATCTAAAAATAGACCTGCCATTCGATCCTACAATTCCTCTACTAGGTATATATCCAGAAGACCAAAAATCACATTATAACAAAGATATTTGTACCAGAATGTTTATTGAAGCCCAATTCATGATTGCTAAGTCATGGAAGAAACCCAAGTGCCCATTGACCCACGAATGGATTAATAAATTGTGGTGTATGTACACCATGGAATATTATGCAGCCTTAAAGAAAGATGGAGCTTTTGCCATTTTCATGTTTACATGGATGGAGCTGGTACATATTCTTCTTAGCAAAGTATCTCAAGAATGGAAGAAAAAGTATCCAATGTACTCAGCTCTACTATGAAACCAATTTATAACTTTCTTCTGAAAGCTATAACCCAATTATAGCCCAAGAAGAAGGGGAAATGGGAGAAGGAGGGGAGGAGGGAGGGTGGATGGGTGGAGGGAGGGTAATTGGTAGGACCACACTTATGGTGCATCTTACACAGGTGCATGTGAAATTTACTAGGTGTAGGTTATAAATGTCTTAACACAATAACTAAGAAATGCCAGGAAGGCTATGTTAACCAGTTTGATGAAAGTATTTTAAATTGTATATAAAACCAGCATATTCACACTGTACCCCATGACTGCATTAATGTACACAGCTATGATTTAATTTAAAAAACACAGCACATTATACTCCATGATTGCATTAATGTACACAGCTATGATTTAATAAAAAAAAAAATGATTACCAGCCAGGTGTGGTGGCTCACACCTGTAATCCCAGGACTTTGGGAAGCTGAAGTGGGAGGATTGCTTGAGGCCAGGAGTTCAAGACTACCTGGGTAACATAGTGAGACCTTGTCTCCACAAAATAAATTTTAAAAATTAGACAAGCGTGTTGGTGCATGCTTATGGTCCCAGCCACTTGAGAGGCTGAGAAAGAAGTATCACTTGAGACCAGGAGTTTGAGGTTGCAGTGAGCTATGATCAGAGTACTGTACTCCAGGTAAAAGAGTGATACTCTGTCTCAAAAGTTAAAAAAAAAAATTACCGATATAATTTTTATATACAATGGTAAAGCAAAATTGAAATAAAGACGACTAGGAAGAAGAACGTGAACTAGCAGGCCACAAGAGCTTAACCAACACCCTGTATTTCATCTTTCATCCAAATAGAAAGTTTATTTGATCAAGGCTTACAGGAGAAAAGAAAATTTGCAGATAAGAAGAAAATAATCTCAATCTAATTAGCTCTACTACTTGCTGATGTGAAAGGCAAAATGATGTCATGGCATTTTAGCAAAATATAAGTAATTTTTGAACTACCATTGTTAAACACATGGTTTATCTTAAAGCTAAAAACTACTTTTTGCTCTGTTGAGCACAACTTTCTTGGCAAGTCTTCAAAACCAAGACAGATTCTCACTTGTCTCACATATTTGGAGGTGGACCCAGGAGGAAGAGCTGAAATAATCTCTATCTAATATCTGATTACCTGTATATGTTTGGATTCTAGCTTCGAAGCAGTTGTGAGATCATATAATGGTACAAAAAAATACATACTAATATCATCTGTTCTAGAACAGAAGAGCACCTATTGGTAGCACTTGCCACAAATAATAGCACACCACCGCCAAAACATCCATTTTGTGTCTGTTTAGATCTGTCTTCTCAGGGAAAAACAAATGCAAGGATCACTCTCCCATGGAGTCTCAGCGAAATCCAATCTTTATCACAGAGTACCCCAGTGTATTAAATTCATCTATTGGATTGCCGCTTATGCTTCCTAATTTCATTGTTAACACATACCTGCGTACCTGGAGTTACCATAGATTATGTCTGCCTGTTTCTCATCTTCAAATTCAGCATTCAGGTTCCAGTTACAAGCAAAAATTTCACCTGTAAAAAACATATTTTGCAGCATAGCAAATTTATCTTCATTTTCACAGTGTTTTTGTTCTAGAGGTATACATGAAAGGAGAATTAAGTGAGGAGTTACCCGACCATGACTTTCCGTCTATTTGGGGGGACTTGGGTTCACAGGATTTGTCTTTAGGAACTTCCTCGTTTGTGGTTTCTAAAAGGTACAAAAGAAAATAGTTATCAATTGGAAATTTCATGTTCTATTAGATTTCTAAAGTCAGTGAATGATAGAAAAATGCTTTGTATACAGAAAATCCCCAATCCTACTTCCCCATCTATATGGTGTCATAAACCACAGTGATAGCACTTAATAACTGTAATTATGGAGAGCAGGTCTGTGACAAAAGCTATTTGTTACATCCCAATTTGGCCGTGCAAAATGAGAGCTACATTTCCCAGTCTCCCCGTCATTATACAACAGTATCCCCTATGTCTGTGGAGAATAGACCTCAGGGAATACTTGAAACCGCAGATAGAACTGGGCTCTAATATACTCTTGCAGTTGGAAGTGTAACAGCAAAACTAGCATGAATTTCTTTTTTCTTCTTCACATTTCATCATTTGTTCATACTGGAGAACTTAACCTCAGTATATGATTTTTTTTTCCTTACTGAGAGAACTTTCACATTAAATGAAGCACTTTATGGCTTCTCTGCAGCATATCTGAAATGCCAGCATCACTACTCTTGTGCTTTGGGGCCATTATTAGGTAAAAGAAGGATTACTTGAACACAAGCACTGCAAGACAGCCTCAGTCAATCTGATAGTCCAGACGGCTGCTAAGTGACTAATGGGCAGGTAGCACAGACAGCGTGGATACACTGGATAAAAGAATTACTCATGCCAGGCTCATGATAGAGCAGGTGGCACAAGATTTCATCACGTCACTCAGAATGGCATACAATTTAAGATTTATGAATTGTTTATTTCTGGGATTTCTCATGTAATATTTTCAGACTTTGGCTGATGATAGGCAACTAAAACTGTGGAAAGCAAAACCTTGAATAAGGGGTGGACTATTGGCCAGGCGTGGTCACTTATACCTGTAAACTCAGCACTCTGGGAGGCTGAGAGAGGAGGATCACTTGAGCTCAGGAGAGCTTCAGCAAGAGCAAGATCCTATCACTACCAAACATAGAAAAATTAGTCGAGAATTGTGGCAAGCACTTGTAATCCCAGCTACTTGGGAGGCTGGGGCAAGAGGGATTGCTTGAACCCAAGAGTTTGAGATTGCTGTGAACTATGATGATGCCAGACTGTCTCAAAAAAAAAAAAAAAAAAGATGGGGAAGTGCTGGGTGCAGTAGCTCACGCCTGTAATCCTAGCACTCTGGGAGGCCAAGGCGAGTGGATTGCCTGAGCTCATGGGTTCAAGACCAGCCTGAGCAAGAGCAAGACTCCGTCTCTAAAAAAATATAGCTAGGCATTGTGGCAGGCACCTGTAGTCCCATCTACTTGGGAGGCTAAGGCAAGAGAATCGCCTAAACCCAGGAGTTTGAGGTTGCTGTGAACTGTGACTCTACGCACTCTACCGATGGCAACAAAGTGAGACTCTGTCTCTTAAAAAAAATAAAAACAACAGAGGCGGGAGAGACTACTGTATGCCTAAATACTGACCAATGAGATATGAATAAACATTATAAGACTGAGGTAGGAGGATCGCTTGAGCTCGAATGTAATCAATTTATTTATTTATTTATTTTGAAACAGGGTCTAACTCTGTTGCCTGGGCTAGAGTGCAGTGGCACCTCACTGCAGCCTTCAACTTCTAGTCTCAAGTGTTTCTCCTGCCTCAGCCTCCTATGTAAGTGGGACTACATGTGCATATCACCACATCTGGCTAATTTTTCTATTTTTTTGTAAAGATGAGTTCTTACTATGTTGCTCAGGCTGGTCTCAAACTCCTGGCCTCAGGTGATCCTCCTTCTTTGGCCCCTCAAAGTTTTAGGATTATGGGTGTGAGCTACCATGCCTGGCTAAAGGAAATTTTAAAAAGTGGTTTCTGGTATCAGATTCCACATTTAAAACAAAAGGGTTTCTTAATGCCTTTTCAGAAACTCTAGTAAAACTTTTCTGTATGTAACAATGCCAAATGGAAATTGGACAATGGACATTGGACTGGACAACAATGCCAGTCTACACAAATGGACTTAATAGTGCAATAGAGGCTTGGTGCCT